GCCATATCTACATGTCCCTAGTCCTTCCACAGTTGCTTCTATTACTAGGACTACAGAGATGCTCTCTTCTTCAATTGCATCATCAGAGCCGCATGCTACAGTCATACCTGTAGAGTCACAGGCCGCACCAGTCCCTGATCCGACCCAGACCGCTTCTGCGTCGCTTCTAGCTACAGAGGGTCATACAGCTCAGAGCTCAAGATCAGATGATGATAGCACACCGTTCTAGCTCGCTCCTCGCACCTCAGCACCCGACTCGTTCGCTGCAGCCCTGCCAACCGACCCGTAGGTTTTGGTGTTTGACGCCAAAGGGGGAGAGGGATCGAGTAAGTTAGACTTAGGGGGAGCGACATATTTAGGGAGAGCTTATCTATTATATTTGGTTTTTTATGTGTGATACACTATTATGCATTCATGTGTTTACCTTCATGCATCGAACTATATTTATGTGATAGTGATATCTACGTGATCGTGATATTTATGTGATATGTGACATGTGTGCTCTCTACTTTGAATTATTTATATGTCATATCACTTGGTTATGCTCATTTGCTTTGCTTCCGCGTTTTACTCCGATGCAAATGAGCTTTATTTCTTGTACTCATGCTTATTTCATATCTATTGAGTACATCATGTTGGCTTGGGTCATATAAGCTTGTCTAACTCCTTCGTTCTTATTGTCAAAAGCTTATATGAACCAAGTATGTTGAAAACCTCATCCTTTTTTTACATACTCGAGGTTGTATTGTCATCAATCACCAAAAAGGGGGAGATTGAAAGCATCTAGGCCCCTAGTTGGGTTTCGGCGATTAATGACAATATGAGATTACTGTGACTAACATGTGTTTTGCAGATGCAATTAAGTTAGGTCATGGTAATGGCAATTGATTGGGCAATCATGGTTGTCATGCCCCTACGATGGAAATCGTTTTGGTTTTCAAAGGATGGACGACAAGGTTAAGAATGGACTAGTTCTAAGTGTCGTTTGAAGTTGAAGAGACACTTAGAGTAGTTTATGACTTTGTTTTTCCTTTGGCCGTACTATTAAGGGGGGTATGGATAGGTAGCTTGATCTAGGTGAGTCTAGTGCGTTAGGTGTGGTGCACACCTGTTAAATCTAGCACTAGGTAGATCCTAAAAAGCCCTTAGATCAATTGGAGCAAACTTTATTCACATATGATTGTGAGTTGGAAGTGAATGGAGGGTCAAATGTTGATCGGACGCTAGTTCCGGTGTGACCGAACACTGGCGCAGAGTCCGGTCAGTTCATTTGATCAAGGTGAAGTCGTTTGGATGCGACCGGACGCTGAGAGTAGAGTGATCGGATACGGGATGCCAGAGTCCGGTCAACTCCAGTAAGGTTCCAGAGAGGGAGAATCCTGATCAGACACGTCCGGTCAGTGCTGACCGGACGCTGGTCAGGTTCCAGCTACTGACCGGACGCTGAGCAGCAAAGTGACCGGACGCTGGGTGTCAGAGTCCGGTCAACATCAATAAGGTTCCAAAGGGTAGTTTTCGTGACCGAATGCGTCTGGTCAATGCTAACCGGACGCTGGGCAGAGTTCGGTCACAACTTAACTGCTCGGTAGCAGGGAGAACTGATCAGAGCGTCTGGTCAACTTGACCGGAGCGTCCGGTCACCCTGCAAAGGCACATAACGGTTCGTTTTGAATGAGGGGTTATAAATATTTCCTCTATTCACTCAAGGGATCACTTTTGCTCATTCCAACAGCTGAGAAACACCCTTGGGAGTGCCAAGAAAAGCAAGGTCCTAGTGAGGTGATTGAGATTTGAGAATCCAAGAGAGAGGCCTCATTAGTGAAAGCAAGAGTAGCAAAGTGTGCATCCACCCTTCTCATTAGGCTTGTCGTGGTCAAGTGAGAGTTCGTACTTGTTACTCTTGGTGATCGCCATCACCTAGACGGCTTGGTGGTGATTGGAAGCTTGGTGATCATCCGACGGAGCTTGTGAATGACCCAACTCAAGTTGTGAGCGGTTGTGGGTGATTCACCGCGATGGAGTGTCGAAGAATCAACCCGTAGAGAGCACTTGATTCTTACGCGGATCAAGGGGGAGCTACACCCTTGCGCGGGTGCTCCAACGAGGACTAGTGGGGAGTGGCGACTCTCCGATACCTCAGCAAAACATCGCCGCATTCCTCCTTCTTTCTTTACTTTAAGCATTTACTTTGAGCAATTCAATTCTTGTCTTTACATTCGTAGAATTGCCATGCTAGAGTAGGATTAGAACATAGGTTGCTAAACTTTTGTGCGGTAAAACAATAGAAACACTTTCTAGGCACAAGGGGAGAAGTGGGCTAACCGTAGGGTATAATTATTGCAAAGAATTTTAGAATTAGCCCAATTCACCCCCCTCTTGGACATCTTGATCCTTTCAGATTGGACGCAGGGGCGCGTCTGGTCGGGCATACCAGACGCGTCTGGTCGTCGTTCTTCGTCTCTAGACCCTTATTGGAGTTGATTGGACTCTAGCTGGCAGAGCGTCTGGTCGCATAGTGGTGCGTCCGATCTCGGTGCTAAGGGAGGTGTCGAGCAGGTGATCGGTCTCCGCGTGGGAGCGTCCGATCATGGACCTGTGCGTTCGATCCTCTGGTGTTAGCGCGTGTCAGGGCTAGCCATTGGGCGCCAACGGCTCAATTCGTTTGAAAGGGACACGTGGAGGTCGATCTGCGACCAGACGCAGCGAACCGAACACGTCCGATCGCCATACCGGATGCGTCCGGTCAGTGCGCAGAGTGCCCAGTGAAGGGGTAACGGCTCTATTTCATGTTGGGGTTATAAATAGAGCACTTGGCCGGCCTTGGGCCAGTTGCTGAGCACCCTTGAGCCTTGATGGCTTGTGTAGGTGTGCTTGAGAGCCCTCTAACTCACTCTTGCTTGATAGTGTTCATCCGATTGAGTGAGCGAGCGATTCTAGTGCGATTGCATCGTGAGGTTGCATCGAGTGGCATTAGGTGATCGAGTTGCAAGCTGGTGGTGCTTGTTACTCTTAGAGGTTGCCACCTCCTAGACGGCTTGGTGGCTTGTGACTCCATTGAAGCACACGAGAAGATTGTGCGGTGCTCCGGAGGAGGATTTGTGAGGGGGATTGTGCTCACCCATGAGGATCGCGAAGAGCAACTCTAGTTGAGCGTGTCATTGAGCTACCCTCACTTTCGGGGTAGGTTCTTGCAGTGCTCGACGTGCAGGCTTGGTAGTTCAGCTCGTAGATATTCCCTAGGGTGCCAGGCTACCACCTGAAGGCGTCAACGACTGGACGACGATTCAGCACGAGGACGCGCTGATCGGAGAAGGGAAGTGATGTCATACGTCTAATGAGAGGCCCCCAACCTAGAGCTAACAGGCCTAGGGAGGCTCGAGGAGGGGTGCCAGCCGGCTCCAGCGCGCCCTAGAAGGGCCGCGTGCGCCAGGAGGAGGTGGCGCCTTCGCCGTCGCCCACGCCGCTGTCATGTCTCGGGAGGGATTAGGTTAGGAGGTTTACCTTATTAGAGCATGTTATGGAAGGGAGAATCAAATCTATAAGGATCTTCTGTAGTTGCTTGGGATACAAGCCCAATAGAGACTATATATACAAGGAGGATGTAATCAATCTAATTAAGCAATGAAAGAACAATTATCCCCTCCCCTACCTCTCTTTCCTCTCCCTGCGCCAGCTCCCTCTCTCCCTCTCCTCAGCGCCGCCGCTCTCTCCCTGTGCCGCCACCCACATCCCCCTAAACCCTAGCCGCCACCCACCAAGGGCCCCCTTCCCAGTAGGGCTCTTACAGTCTTCAAGTCAATTGGATTAACAAGGTTGTACCCTTCACCAGCAAGCTTCTCGAACACCTTTTTGAATGCACCTTGGCTCATCTTCCTTCCGGCAATAGGTGCGCCCCGGCGCTTTGTGCTCTTTGGCAGTGGATACGTTGAAATAGAAGTCGTGCAGCACGCAGACTGCCAGCCACCTGCACCCCAACGGTAGCATTGCTGGGGAGCTCCAGTGCACGAGCACACTGGTGTTTGTATGTTGGCAAGGTCCAACTCAATACCGTTAATCACCATCCCCCCAGTCTTCTTAGGTCCCCTCCTTCGGGCCGCATGCCCATCAAGTGCCAGCAGCCTTCTTAGGCTTTGGTGACTTAGGCTGCCGACTCTGCTGCTGGCCCCGCTGCCTCTTTTTCACAGATGGCCCGGTACTAACCACACAGTGATCCTGAATCAATGGAGGTGGGACTTCGTCTTCCTTGCATGGAGGAGGTTCCTGAAGCTGTGACTCAAGCTGTGGTTGCATCATCTGGAGAGTTGCATCTGATATCATCCCATAGCCAGTAGGATATGATGGTGATGCACAATATATCCACCATGCGCAGGATGGCCACCATGGCCTGGATGCCCTACATGCCCAGCTGGTACGATAGGGTGAGAATGAAGGGCCTTCTGTAATGCGCATATTATGTACAGTAATGTATAGTCATTAGCAACACGTACGGATCTAAACTTTTGTTTGGAACAATATAACAAACTAAATTGGGTACAACGTAAAGTCTATATGTGATTTCCCTTGTTTCACGCCGTTTCACCTGAACACATTATGTACGAAAGCAATGCGCATACTGCACATCAAAATCTATTGGCAAAGGTTGCCTGGATTGCAGCAGAATTCAACTGTGCAGGACCTCTCAGCTTTTCCCCTTTTCCTAGAGAAAGAATGGTACAGCATTTTGAGCATTGGTTATTAGAATGATTGGATACAGCAGAGACAAGAAAACTGCCAACCAGACACCAAAAGTGCTGAGTTTGGACACAGCTAATCTTTGCTCTCAGTTCAACAAACAATGTGCGTAGAAATCCCACCAACAAAGAGATTGCTTGAGTGAGTGAAACAGCCTGATATGCATCACAGTAGGTTATGTTGTAAACTAGTCAGGCGATCTCCTGGACCTTCATATCATAACTCAAGTTGCAGTAGCCAACTCACCGTGTATATCACTGTGAGTGCCATCAGAAAGGAACAACGTAAGGCATAGCAATTACATCAGCAGTATCAATTAGCTGTGCATCAGTCCAAACTTGGCGTGGTTCTACAGCCTCAAATGTCACTGTTTTCTGCCTAACATGATCCACGGAAAACAACCAGTCCTGATCAATGTACTCTGAGAAGTCATGTGTTGAAGGTATGCAGTGCACTTGGCTCAGATACTTGGTATCAGGGTGAGGTTTACTCTCATAACCAGATGAAGTAACTGAAGGCATTTGGTCATCTAAATAACGAGAGCCAGTGATGCCATTGTTATAGCTATGTTGGCACTCATGCTGACCTATATCACAAGTATTCACCCCAGCTAGTTCTGTAGAAGAATGACGTGTGATCCACTGAGGATGCTGTGAAATTTTCTCGCCCACACAAGTAAGATTGGAAAGAGATATCATTGGCAGCTTACTTGTTCTCATACTGTGTTCTGTCAACATATTCCAAATGAGACTCAAAATAAGTAAAATTTAAATACTGCTGCTTCAATGTATTTAGCATGCCTGTGCTGTTATGAACTAAATGCTCACAGAAAAGGAGGGAGAAAAGGTCATTGGCTACATTATATAAAAGGAATTCACCAGAAAATAGAAAGGAGAGAAAAGGAACTTACCATGTGGAGAGCTATTAGGGTCAAAGTCTTTCATTTTCCTGATATCAGAAGCAAACTTTTGCTCATTAAGACAGCCCAAATGCACCAGATTATCGACCTTGTCCTTGCTTGCACCAAGATCTTCCTGTTTCTGCTCATTGAAAGTGCCATTTTTCTCCACTTTTTTCTCTTTATTTTCACATTCAGTCTTTCTTTTCTTTACAACACTATCTCTATCTTTGCCTTCAAGACCTTTACGATAGTTACCTTTTGCCTTCCCTTCAACTGCTCCATCTTTATTTCGTGCAAATTGCCGATCCATCTTGCGCCAGAAATTGTTAGAACTTTCCTCCCCCATACCTTTTGTGCTACTTCTGCCATTTTTTACGTTTGCAGAATGGACAGAAATATCAGGATCTTGTCCTGTTTCTTCTGTTCTCTGAAAAGTATTTGGGTTAGGTGTGACTCGGCCAGTTGCAGTATGTACACCCTCAAAGCTTCTTTGTGTATCAGAATTATCATGGTATACACCGAATACATTACAATTGTACCTTCTTCTGGAATGCATTTCAGCTGATCTATCTTGAAGGCTCTTCCCATTCTTTATTTCAGTTTTAGAATCGATACCCCTACCCATTCCTTTTTTAGTTGCATGAGCAATACTATCACTCTTTTGCACCATCCCGTAATTGTCTTCTGTTGCTTGTGCAGATTTCTTAACCATTCTACCAAGCAAATTCCTTTCCTTCTTTTTAGAACCTGTACTACCAATGTTATCAGTGCTCCAAGGAAGCAACTCAGTATTGTTATGTTTGTGGTCTGTATGACCTCCTTGACCAAAAATTCGGTTAACCAACTCATCAGCTGGTATAATATCTTTGACTGATTCATGCCATCCATTTTCTTCAGGTTTTCTCTGTCTCAAAGTTTGGTTTCTGTCTTTACATATGTCCTTGTTCTTTTTCCTCTCTCTGCAGTTCACTCTTTTCTGTTTCCTGTTGTTCTTATCTTTCCTATTATCTCTACCCTTTTCTTTTGTTTCTCCTTTTCCCCTGTCCTTTGCCTTTCTGTGCTTCTTATCCTTGTGCTTTTCCTGAAATAAGCGGCACATATTCAATACCAGTTAATTCACTATACAGAATTAATAATTCACACATTCAACAGTGACCTTCTTCCTAGCCCCTCGATACATGCTAAGAAAATACAACTAGCACCTCATTGCATTTTTAGACATGATCATCGCAATATTGCAGTTACGGGTTCTCATCAAGGACATATATGTTACTTCAGGCTTCATGGTTGAGGCATGCTGAAATAATTTTAATCAGGATTTAAGATCCAAAGCGAAATATGTTCAGGCATATCAAATCGAAAACTTATTTCATGTCACTTGGTTCACGACAAAAATATTACACATCATGCTCTTGTACTTCCAGTTTAACTCAACCACAGTAGAAAGGTGCAGTAATAATAATAGAATGCAGGAACAAGTCGTAGCCTATGAAGTATTCAGAAATTTAAAAGGCAATGGTAAGAGGTAGGACCCACTCAGGTAACGATATAGTACGCAACAAAATTGATGTGAAAAATACTGCAGAAGTTCAGGTCAAGTCCTACTGTGAAATGGCAGTTTTCATAACCAAGTACTAACAAAAAATGAACACAGGGTACACAACCAAGTACTAACAAAAAAATTAACATGTAGGGATGTCATCATGTGGTTGATGAGGATGTACAGACTATTAATCAATATTTCTTAATCATCCCGCATAGCTGAGGCCTGAGGTATATAAGTATCTTATGCAAAAGAATGTTCTTTATCATAGCATATGATGCACAATTTATCTATACAAAAATGTGAAAGAAATATGAATTCGAAATAAAGCTATATGTGTAAATTGCGACCCCCCCAAAAAAAAAAAAAAAAAACTAGAAGCTGATTAAGAAATGTATATATTAGGATAAGGGGCAAAGAAGCAGGGGCCTTCCCAGCTGCTCTTTTTCCTCCAAAACACATTGGCAATTCTCTGTTGCTTTGTGACATCTAACACTTTCAAAACTAGTATTATATTAATACTCCTCTTACTCTTATAGTATTGCTCTTATTGTGATAAAACTCAAAGCATATCATGTCATTGTGTGTTTCCCCTCGATATGCCTTTCTTATGTTTGCCATGATTTTCCTCTCAGATATTTGATTTGCCAAATAGCATTTGGTAGAGTAAGTACATTTCAGTAGTTAGATAGGATCACCATGCTCATATTCATGCTAACTGTGTTGCTTAACTATGTACTACCATGCACCACTCTTGTATGTAACTTAAAGAACAAAGCATGACATCAATATGGTAAGTGCAACAGCTTCTGAACAATCCAGAGAGATCCGATCTATCATGAACCATCAAATTAAAGTCTATTTTGGCAAACCATCCAAGGGGCACAGAGTATGAACCTTTCTCAGCAAATCCTTGTGGCGCTCCTCACTCCTGGGCCTTGATTCAAACCCTGGCGGCAGGAACGGGAAGCACCTCGACATCGTGACACACCTAGTAGATGTACAATGAGACTGAATCCGCAGCACGGCAGTTCAACCAGTCCAGACAGGCACCCCGGATCCCTCTCGTCCACCATATCCCAATTGGTAGCGCCTTGGCCGAAGCCAGTGCAGAGCGCACCACCACCAGCACTGTTGCAGCTACCACAGTGCCCAAACACTGAAATCAGCTTCTGATTTGTGCCACTGCAACGGGTAATCAAAAGTTCAAAACGATCCAACTGCCCAATCGGCTCCAACTAGCTGGTCTGAAACCCAGGCGCTGAATAAGACTCAGGAGCAGTTAGTGCAGTCCTCTCTTCCATCCGATCGCTCACTCCCCGCCGCCGATCCCCACCCAGAGCCACAGCAGGTGGAACGACAGCCCGGGCCCCGCGCCCCAACCGGAAGCAGCAGCGTCGTCGTATGCTCCTCCGGCTCCGGCTCCGGAGACGCAGCGCATCCACGCGGAGCCCGGCACAGACCCAGACCCAGCCGCTCGCTGTCGCGCACCGCAGTCCGCTGAGGCTTCCAGAAAGTAAGCAGAAGAACTGTAGAGCTAGCAGGGGGCCTTCCGCAGCGGCTTCCCCTCCCGATCTCGGACCAAACTGACGCCTAGCCGCTCCGATTCGGTGAGGAGCGGAACACCAAAGTCCGGGGCCAACGGCAACAGCAACAGGTTTCCGCGCGAGCAGATCGGCCAACGGCGGCGCGGCGCTCAGGCTCAGCCCGCCGGTCGCGGGGAGGCTCGTGGTTCGTGAGGAGGAGGGCTGGCTGGCTGGCTGGCTTTGCTGATGATGCTGTCTGATCTCTCGCTCGTACTCGGATGCTCCGGCGGTACCGTGACTGCTTTCCCCGCGCCGCACCGCATCCACCCCCCAAAGGCGGCGTGGCGGCGTGCGCATGCGAAACATTGGTCCATTCTGGTGACAGGTGTCGGGCTGCGACTGCGCCCACCCCCGTTCGGCTGGGGTGGTTGGTTGGGCAATTCCGTCTGTTGACTTGTTTTATCCGGCTGCGGACCTTTTCCTCCTGGACTAGAATGTCTCCGTATGCGTTTGCCAGATGGGCCTCAACTGAAACATGGGCCTAACTGAGGCCCGTTTTGTGTTGTCCGATATGACTCGTTGCATTTTCTCCTTGGGCCGTCCGGTTCCTTCACGAATCCGCAACAGGGGCCCACCGCCCACATACACCGCGTTGACGCTATATCGGTCGCAGTTTTTTCCGGTCAGCTCTTCCTCGTACGAGCGACGCGCATGTCCATATGTCCAGGGCAGCTGAAGCAGAGTGGAGTGTCCCATGCTTTCCACCAACAAGTTGACCTTCCCTACGGCGCAATTGGTTCTCGATTTCCCATCTCAGGAGTCAGGAGGCAGTCAGGGCCAATCGAGCATGGACGCAGAGAAGGGCACAAAGAGAGGACCTCGATTGCCCTGACGAGCTTCAGTGGAAGCAGCAGGTCGTTCGGCCAGGTGCCCAGATCAGAAACGCTACTGCGCAGGCGCAGCTGTGCCGCGCAGCGCAAAGAAAAAGGAGTGAGCAAACAGAGGGGAGCACTAGTGCAAGCAGCGCAATGAAGAAACCTCGGTCATGACACACACACATGGTCGCATCTAGGACCAGGAGCTTTAGATATCCTCGGTGACTGCTGGGGTCAGGAAAAAGTTGTTGCAAGATCGTGTTGTCTGATCAGTGATCCAAGATCTGCTGCTGATGGAAAGCTAAAGTTTCAGCTCGTTCGTCCAGCGATCCATGCATGGCTTCAACCGCAAGGGACGAGACTGATAAAATGAGGCATTGTCGCAGGTATATGTGTAGTACTGCAATACCACAAACAGATCAGCTCCAAATTACTTAAATCTAGCCTTTTTGCTAGTAACCACCGAGGCAAATCCAGATGTTGGTTTGGCCTTGGAGTTCTGGTTCTGGAGTTGGTGGCATGTCTTGAGTCTTGACAGACTAGGTTTTCAATTCCCATGGAATGAGGAAAGAAAAAGGCCCCGTTCGCTTGGAGGAATTTGGAGAAATCTGGATGGTTTTGGATGAATCTGGAGGAATTTGTGAGAGAAAAATACTGTTCTAGATGAAAAAAGAAGCGGATCAAGCCGGGTTTAAGGGCACGCGAACGGGGCCAAAGTGACGAATGTATGTACAACATGTTCAGTTACTCAGCTATTAGTATATCAGTCCTGGATGTGCAGGAACCATATGGCGAAGTCGTTTGTCCTGGAAAAAACACAGCTTTCAATGTCCATCAGAAGTTATAAGCAACAGTATCCCAGTACCATCCAAATTGAATTCACTAACCAATTCTTTGGTTTATGGGTCAGGGTTGGTTCCAGGCTAGTGGCACTGTTCACTGTTCACAATATCAATCACATAAAGGTTAGCAGAAACAAAGCGCACATGGGGTGAGCAATTAGCAGCCACCCCGGATGCAATTAACAGGACAAGACAAGCTGTGAAACTTGCATTCTCAGGAAATTCAGATACATACAGTTGCATCCATCATCCATGGCGTTTCTGTCGGTGAAAAGTGAAAAAGGCAGGCATCTCATTCTCAGCTCAGAATTTGCGGTAACTACTACAAGTGGTGAGGCACAAGGGGACCAGAGGTTCCATAAAAAAAACAAGGGGACCAGAGTTAGTTAGATGAGGTCAACACCTGCTTAACCTGATGCTGATACAGGTCAAACACTGCTTAGTCCTCCAGCTCACCGTTTCCACGGGGTGACGGGGACCAGGCTTCTGTTCTGATGCAGCAGTAGCGACAACAAAACCCAGCCAGGCCTAGTTGTACAGTACCGGCCCATGCCAATGGACACTCCAGACTTTTGTGACTTCGTGTGGTTGTATCGTAGCTCAAGTGGTACGAGTAGACTGTAGTCATTTACCTACAAGGACTGATTAGTTGGAAAGTTGCACTGTAGCTCGTTGTAGTAATGCTGCATTAATCGCTTGACCTTTCGATCTTGACATCAAGCAGGAGTGAACAACTTCGGTTGCTTGCTTCAACTAATAAAGGGGCTGAAGTGGAGTCCAGTGCCAGTTGCCAGCATCAATCCCTGAAGATGCCCAGTCCAGCATCGGATTCAAACTGTCTTCCTTGTGCTGAAAAAGATGGCCATAATTCAGACTGTCAGTGCTAAAAAGTATTCAGAGTTTCAGAGGCCTCATCCCATGTATGTACAGTATTTGTATGTATGCAGAATGCAGGCATGCTCAGCTCAGTGGTCCTAGAGAGTACGTAGAGTAGAGACCATGTTCAATGCATTGCTGTTCACACTCGATTGACTTGCAGGATGGCATGAGGAAGCTGGGGTTATCTGGATCAGAGAGATGAGTGGCATGCATCGTGTGAAGGCAGGAGCTGAGCAGAGAGGAATTGTCGCCAGTCGTCACGGCATGAAATGAATGGTTGGATCTGAGGGGCACATGGACAATGGTGACCATGGCCATGGGAATGCATTGAGCGCCGTCGGAATCCAAGGCACATGGACAATGATTGTACTAGAATGTGCTGTACCGCAGCGATTCATGCAGATAAAACAGTTCAGTCAGTGTAGGAACCACGCAGCACCAACTGCGCGCTGCAAATGCTGCATTACCAGTAGCAGTGCCCTCTCGTGACACTCGGTCCACACACTGCCATTCTACTGGTCTTTCTTGCAATTGCAAGGATTGGCCAATTGCTGAATTTGCTGCTGGGATGGATGATCACACTCGATGAAATATCTTGGGAAACAGCTGCAAGAGGCCAAGGAACCAAGCCACCAAGGACTGTACCACGGTACAAACCGTCGTCCTTTTTCCCCCCATCGAGTGCATCATTCTAAAAGGAACTTGTACCAATGCCCAAACAAAATCCATTTCCTGTTCGCTATCACCAGCCACGCTGCATTGCAACAAAATTCAGAACCGATTGCGCAATCGCTCCACATACAGTAAGATACCCTGGTGCAGAGAACCGCAACAAAGAGGCAAATGCAGCGACCAAATTTGCACAGGTTTATATATAAATATATGTGTGGGGAAGATAAAGAAGCTGCATGCAAGTCCACCGCCGAAACCTAAACAATGCCGCTCCGGCAGCCTGCAACTTCTTGGATTCACATCAAGCACAGCATCTTTGAGTTCCAGGCACGAGTTGTATATAGGTCACAGACTCAACAGTGAACAAGAATGAGATACTATAGTATCTGATAAAAAAAATAGTAATAATTTGAGCAGAATTATCTGAACCATGATGTCAGTGACCTCTGTTCAGATATGGCCCCTTTTACTTTGCTCGGTTGTCTATCTATACCACGCCCTGATACCCACATCTTTTTCTACCTTTTTTTTTTCAAGCAGTTAAGCTTAGTTTATCTATGAATCCTTTTCCATAGCCTAAGCACTACTATGATAGCATCATGGAGAAGCAAAAGCAGCGAGGCTTAAACAATAAGCACCTTGCAAAGTCACAGGACACTGCTAGCTAGCTAGCCTCCAAGGACAATCGAATGCACACTTGGTGGTGGACGGCCGGGCCGGGGAACACGCCGCGCCGGCGGCTCGGCTCCTCACGATGCTGCGGACATGGGCATGGATTTCCTCTTGGCGGTCTTGCCGGCGAGGACATTGCCGCCGCCCCTGACGTCGACCTTGTAGTACTGCACGAACCAGTCGACGAAATGGCGGAGGCCAACCTCGAGCGAGGTGGCGGGGCGGTAGCCGAAGTCGCGCGCGGCGTGGCTGACATTGGCGTGCGTGAACGGCACGTCGCCGTTGGTCGGCATCGTGACGACGCGCTTGTGCGCCTTCTTGCCGAGGAGCTTCTCGAGGATGGCGACCATGCGGGTGACGGGCACCGGCGAGGTGTTGCCGAGGTTGTACACGCGGAGCGGCGCGGGCCCGCGCTTCTTGCCGGACTTGGAGCCCGTGCTCTTGCCGGCCGTGTCGAGCGCGCTGAGGCAGCCCCTGACGATGTCGTCAATGTAGGTGAAGTCGCGGCGCGCGTCGGCGCCGTCGGCGGTGCGGAACAGCGTGATGGGCTCGCCGGCGACGATGCTGCGGGCGAATGAGAAGTAGGCCATGTCGGGGCGTCCCCACGGCCCGTAGACGGTGAAGAATCGCAGGCCAGTGATGGAGAGCCCGTAGATGTGGTTGTACGCGTGCGCGATGGCCTCGCCGGCCTTCTTGGTGGCCGCGTACAGCGACGCGGGGCGGTCCGTGCGGTGGTCCTCGGAGAAAGGCGCCTCGGTGTTGAGCCCGTACACCGACGACGACGACGCCCACACGACCGCCGGCTGCGGGTCGGCGTGCCTTGCCGCGGCCTCGAAGAGCGCGACGAGGCCCGCGACGTTGGAGGCCACGTACGCCTGCGGCGCCCGCATCGCGTGGCGCACGCCCGCCTGGGCCGCGAGGTGCAGCACGTGCGTGAACGGCACCGCGGACAGGAGCCGCTCCAGCAGCGCGGCGTCGTTGATGTCGGCGTCCAGCACCACCACGCCGCGGGATGCCAGCAGACGCTGCCGCGCGCGCTTCAGGGACGGGTCGTAGTAGGCGTTGAAGTTGTCGAGGCCGAGCACGCCGTCGCCGCGAGCGCGGAGCGCCAGCGAGCAGTGCGCGCCCACGAAGCCCGCGGCGCCCGTGACGAGCACGGACAGCGCCCCGTCCCGCCGCGGCTTCGCGCTGCGCCGCACCTCCCGCTCCCACGCCGCGCCCCACCCGTACGACGACGATGTCCCCGAGCCTAGCAGGCTCCGGTGCGAGTGCCGAGACCGCGGCGAGGAGGAAGAGGAGGAGGAGCGGGAGCCGGACGCGGGCAACGCGGAGAGGCTGAAGGAGTGGGAGAGCAGGGACGGGTAGTGCACGGCGAAGAGGACGACGAGCCCGAGCGTGGCGAGCACGGTGGCGCGGAAGAGCAGGTGCGACGATGCCGACACGAGCTGCTTGGCGCCCGCCGCGCGCCGCAGCAGCAACGCGTGCCGCTCCAGCTTGACGCCCTTGGCGGCGGCGTCCACCACGCCGGCCGGCATCCGCTCCTCCTCTGCTGCTGCTGCCGCGCGCTGCGGTGGAGTGGGGGTGAGGTGGTGGTGCTTCGGCGATGTGAAGTGGGGAGCGAGCGAGAGTGTGAGACTGATAGCGTGATGACAGCGAGGGAGGGCGTGAGATATAAACCGAGGTGGCCGGCGCGCGGGGCCGCGGGATTCGGTTGCCTGCGGGCTGGGACTACGGTGGTTTAGCTCCCGAAACAGTAAACGGGTGTGCTTTTTAGCTCGAGTGGATCAGGATCACCGTGTCGGGTTGGGGATGCCGGACGGCGGACGGAGCCGGATGGCCGGATGCAATGTCGCGCTCGCGGGTGCAGTGGTGCAATGGTGCATGCGTCAGCAACGCAGGAACAGCAGCCTGACTGCCTCACTGTCCGTGTGTCAGGATTTACCGCGTGAAGGCTCGAGGGTGTGCCTGGGAATGAGTGAGCTCTTGTCCGCTTTCGCCAGGTATCTGCCGGCCAATCACCTCCGTCCAAGTATCAAACTCAGAGGAGTACTAGTACGGAGTACTCCATCAGTCAAAAAAAAAAACGCATGGGCTCGGAGGGAGTACTCATTTTTCTATATTTATTCAAAAAAATAAAAACAGTGAAGAGCAAACATTTCGTTGAATCGTTCGAGGCTCTCTACAGTGAGTAGGAGTAGGCTAGTAGCAGGCTGCCTCCGGGCCCCATTTGGCGGCGCCACTACGGGAGAAGTGGGCGCTGGTCAGTTTTTGCTGCTCCTTTGAAGCTGTGAAAAATCGAGTGCTCATTCCATTTACTTTTACCGTGCTTTTGCGCTTGACCCTCGTTCATGTCGGCTTCGCTTTCAACACTGTGCTAACACTACAGGGCACAATAGCTAGTGGAGCCTAAAAAAACTATCTTTGCAGTGTATTTTGTGAGGAAAAGTTTCCGAGAAATTTTATAATAGTTGGAAAACATATGAACCATCCACGGGGCTAGATCGGACGGTGTAAAAATAGGAGACCCGTATATGAAAGTACTTAGAAGTACCGAATTGATCGAAACGGTACCAAATTAGATGGGTCAGTACCAAAATATGGGGGCCAGTTAGGTGGGTCAGTACCAAAATATGGGGCCTCCTCCTCCCGGTTGCTGGCGCCCCCGCCAGCCGTAGCCGTAGGCATTATAAAAAATCTATTTTATAAATAGTTTTTCTCGATTAATTAGCTAGAAAATAGAAAAAAATGAAAGCACTAGGAGGTACTAAGATACTTTCCCAACCATTATAAAAATAGCTCTAAGGGTTCTTTACTTCCACAATCTACGATTGATCTATAATTAGGCCTGTAGCTAGATCGATGTTGCACTCCTGTTTCCACTAAAAGAAAGTCATCAAATACTCTTATAATCTTCGATCATCATGTTGTCTCATCAATGTCGGTACTAAACATCCTAGTGTAACTTGCAAGGATAACATGGGGGGCATTGATAGGCGACCATGGATTCAATTTCAAGGCCCGATTTGTTTTCTCTCCGTCCTTGACCTTTTCCCCTTTAGGGCACGCTCGTTTGTCATGGATTGAGTGCCCGGAACGATTTCAGGTGGAATTGGTTCAATAATTTGTATACTTTTGATGGACTGGAATAGTTTCCCAACCAAATCCAGAATAACCGAACGCAGCCTTACTAACATGGGCGCTCTACTGGTGTGCTGTTGAGTACCGAGCTGGGCGACAGCTTGTAAAGCTGTGGGAACGGAGGCACGGAGCGAGCTGATGCTAGTACGTACAACAGCTGCGGAGACTTTGATACACACCACTGGGACCTTGTTTAGATCGGGATTAGAAATCAGTATTGGACATTGTAGCACTTTCATTTGTATTTGACAATTATTGTTCAATTATGGCCTAACTAGGCTCAAAAGATTCGTCTCGTAATTTACAATTAAACTATGTAATTAGTTATTTTTTTATTTACATTTAATACTCCATACATATGTCCAAAGATTTAATGTGATGGAGAGAGAGTGAAAAAACTTGCAATCTAAACAAGCGGCTCAGGAGGTTTTCCAGTGATGGATCCCCTGTGCTTTTCTCGGTCACCCTTTGAGGAAAGTAGTATAACAGAGTCCCCGTACTTTGCCAACAAGATAGAGGAGAAGTGTGTTGTCGCATTAGTTCAGCATTTTTTTAGACGGCCAACAAATCGTCTTATGTAGTGCTGTGTAGGGAGTAATTTTGATGACGTGGAGGAAAGAGAAGGTAAAGATCATTGTACTCATAAGCTACTATTTAAGAATGTTCTTGCACCGTTGCATTATATCCTTTGTTCTATGCACAAATTATGAATTAAAGAAAAATCTTAATACTACTGGTTGCACTTGGAGGCCACAAATGAAGGCTCCATGGCACAACGTGTTCGCTTGGTTGTATTTGGCTTATAAGCCATGGTTTATCAGCCAACGAACAATATTTTTCTCTCACACCAAACTAGCCCACAGTACTTTCAGCCATGGCTTATCAGCCAAACAAGCCCAAACGAAACAGGGCTGCAGTCCTCACAAGACACGCTACAAAAAGAATTCTAAAAGTTGTCATGGAAACCCGCAACATTTAGACTTTAATTTGATAGACTCTAATCATCGTCCCAAATAATAGTTATTTAATCGATTTAGATTTCTAGAAAAAATTACCCATCTCTCCATCATAGAAAATACATAAAGTAACTCCTAACTTTTGCATCTAAAATACCTATTTTAGCTATTACGAAAGATAATTTAGAGTACCCCCTAAATTTGCATCTAAGGTGCACACCTCTATCTTTATGAAAGATAATACAAATAACTCCTAAATTTTAATTTTAACTTACTCACATCTACTATTATGAAAGATAATATAAAGTAATGCATTTACTTTGTATCTACATTATTTATGTTTGTTGTTTTAAAATTAAATTGGAATATCCCTCAAATCTAGGGCTAAAATAATATTACGGGAATAATGCAGTATCCATAAAGCACAATTTATTATTTTTTCCAAATTACATGTTTCTACCATTTTAAAATTAGAAGTAGTCACAGATGCTATGTGACACTATATATGTAGTAAACATACATGCATCAAGGTAGATACTTATTTTTTCTAGTTTACTCAATCATTAAAAATTACTCCCTTAGTAAACCATATACAAATGGCACTTACAATTCACATGTAATATATTAATACTCTATGACAACATATTTTGTAAGTCATTACTTTAGAAAATTATATATATTGACCGAAATATTATAAAAAAATTAATTTCAAGCACTTTCCTACGGTTTTATAGGTAGAAATCGTGTTACAAAACAAGTGGCATAAAAGTTGAAAGCCAAAACCTAAACTCGTGATGTCACAAAAATGATACAAGAAGAATTGATATAACTTAATCTAAGATTTTAACTAAACGTATAGTAAAAACCATAGAGATGCAGTGCAAAGGATGCAAACAGTTATATGGTAATTTGTAAATTTATCAAAGTTCATGGCCAAGATGGTAAAAAGAGATAACTATCGTAGGAATTATGTTAAGATGTCTAAAGAATAATTGTCATGTTTGCTTGGCTTATAAGCCATACTTTTTCAGGCAATGAATAATATTTTTCTCTCACAACAAATCAGCCAACCATACTTTTAGTCATGGCTTATCAGCCAAGCAAACAAGACAAATACTTGGTGTGCGTAAAACAATGGCAATTGTGTTTGCCCTGAGATTCTGAGAATGAACGTTCATCCGCCAAGGTAATCGGATCCTAGTCCTAGGTGCGTGCTCCCTCACAGTTTTACGGCAAAGGTCAACACGCGGCGACGCATATTAGCGCAGACGCGACGCGCGACGCCGGGCGGCACGTGCGCGCGAGCGAGGCCTCAGGCCTGGCCGAGCAGGGCAGGGCTCCCGGATCGCACGCCCAACGCAATGACGCGTGGGTCCACGCGGCGGAGGCGCCGCCTCGGGGTTAGCGCCAAAAACAGAGGACGGCGCCTCCTTTGACTGCGTGCCGCTGCAACTGCTACCATCTCAAGCTGTACGGCTGCGTATGCATGCATACATACAGATACAGTACATATACAATATACAAACCGGGCCCCCCTTGAAGTCGGCGGAGCTGTAAAACTGCATGCGCTGACGGCTGGCGTTGGTTTCAGGTCGAAAATGAAACCTGCTCATTCAAAGGCAATGGCTGGCTGACAGAGGAAACTGGGAGCTGTAATGTATACCCGAGTACTTCTTCCTTTTGGGAATACACGATGGACGATGGATGCACAGTCACCACGCGATCGAGTTCGAGTGAAAGGTGAACAGACGGCGGACGACATGGCTCAGCTCACCCGGCTAGGCCAGCTCGAGTTCGACCGGCGGCGATGGCTGGCCCTGGCCGCAGCGAGCGAGCGAGCGAGCAGCCTGCCGCCCTGCCGGTGGATTGGGATTGGATCGACGGGCGTGGGCCTGCCGGCGGTGGGTCGGTGCCCGATGAATGCTCTCAGTCACGCTCACACGTCCAAAGTAGCCACAGGGCACAGGCAGAGGTCACCAATCGGCAGCGCGTGCATCGGATTAAAGAGCCTCACATGCATGCTCTGTGCTCTCCATCGATCGGCAATGCACTGTGCACGCGGGGCATTGCTCCGCTCCGCTCCAATGCGGCGGCGGGTGTCTGTCCGCCGCAGGCAAAAGCGCGTTCTGCGTCGAGCTAGTCTCCGATGGGAAATCTAGCAAACCCCTTTTAGGGCCTCTTGGACAGAGCTATGAATAGCAACTGAAGTGGGATTAAGCAGTTTCGGCTTCGCCCACACCAGTTCTTTCTTTTTACCGGTTTCGGCTTCACTTGACACGTAGCAATAAGAGATAAAGCTATTCGGCAACCACCTTGTTGTTGCTCAAAAGTAGTCCATATAGACATTAAAATAGTCTGTATCAGCCGGCTAAAACACGGTGAGACCGGTCCATGAAATAGCCTATATTAAAAGATACCTATAAATTTATGGACTACAATAG